TACTGTAGTTTACATTAGTAACTTGGTAATTTTTTCTTTGTTCTTCTATTTTCCAGTATTTCTGTAATGTGTTCATTATTTTTATAGTTTAAAATAAAATAAAAAAACTCGCCCTGGCCAGTTTGGCTCAGTGGATAGAGTGTCGGCCTGCTGACTGAAGAGTCACGGGTTTGATTCTGGTCAAGGGTACATGCCTGGGTTGTGGGCTCCATCCCCGTAGGGAGTGTGCAGGAGGCAGCCGATGATGATCCTCTCTTATCACTGATGTTTCTATCTCTCTCTCCCTCTCCCTTCCTCTCTGAAATTAATAAAAATATATTAAAAAAGTAAAAACTCAAGGGGGAAAAGGTAGTGCTAGATTACTTTTAGTTGTAGTGTTTTCATTTCACACAAAAATCAAATCATAAAAAGATTTGGACTTACCGAAGTCCTCAAGTCAAAAACAGAAGCCACCTCATAATTTTAGTACAGCCTATTCTATCACCAAGCTTTTCTGTAACACCAGTTAGTTCATGGGTAAATAAGGGAATTATTTTACTACAATGTGAAAATCACATTGGTTTGTACATAATTTTTCCCAGCCTATGTTTTTGCACTAAATAAAAACAGCTGAACCCCAAAAAGGCTAACACAGTGGAAAGCAGCAAGCTGCTGAAAACACAGTACTGTACACAGTTCTCATTCAACCCATGTTCTTCCTTTTGGCACAGGTTGGCCAGATGTATTTTCCTGTTAGTGCTTAATGAGCTCTCTTCTCAAAATTTTATGCATTTTACTCACTTCCATAACCCTGTATTTGCACACACTTCCATCAGGCTAATTTCACCTTTTTAAGTCCTAAATCAACTACATTTTTTATTTGTAAAAAATTTAGTATAGCTTTTAAAATATTCTAGTATTCTTATTAAGATTTATTTTTGTTAGTGCGCTGATTACCAACTTTCAGATGTTTTGGGTGAGTTACCCCAGGAGCTGTACACAATTTTAGTATTTTCAGAAATATTTATATGTAATATCACAACAGAAAGGTCTGTAGATTTTATACCCAAATCAAGAAAACTTTAAGCTTTATTTATTTGGAAAATTCTAGATTTATGAGCAACTACTTCTTAAAATGAACTGAAATCATTCAGTAGCAGATCATTAATAATATGTATGAAAGTTTGTTTCATAAAGCAAAACAATTAAATAAAAGGAAATTTAAGCTAGAGATATATTATTTCCTTTTCTTAATCCTTTAAGAACAATCCTTCAACAAACCACATAATAGTTGTTGCACATAATAAACGTCACTCAAAATGAGCATTTAATGCCAAGAGAAAATAAAGTGGGATCTGAAAAAAAGTGTACTCTAATTTATTAGGTTTATAACTATCATAACCCAAGTAATGAATACACCCACTAATAAACTAATTTCTAAAACTCAGACATTGCTACCAAAAAAAGTAGGTAAACATACAAGACAATTTTAGCAAAATACACATTTTGCTAAATGCAGACTCCAAATCTTCTACATTTCAGAAAGAACAGTTTCTTCTCACAGGAGAATTTTTAAAGAGTTTAAATAAACCCAGTACAATCTCTCTAGAACCCCTGCTAGAGCTTCACTGTAGAAGGGCCATGGCAGTATCTTCAGAAGAGGGTTCAGAATTCAAATGTACCATTTTTTCCATAGCTGTGCAGCTCATGCATCTCTCAAGGTGTCTGCATATTATGTTCAATATTACAGTGATAATCTATTCTAGGACAAGAAAAATAAAATGCCATATTGGAATTCTTAGATCGTTTCCCAAAAGATTAGAGGAGAGCACTTTTGCTTAAGTTGGTTATTAACACTGGTGTGAGAAGAAATGCATGACAGAGACTAAACAAGAGAAGGAAAACTGAGCCACAGAATTATCTAAAAAATAAAATGCTGTATTATACAGTATTAGAGGTGTTGCCCCAAATAACCAAGGAATCTCCTAAACATAAAATGGTACTTAAAACCACTTACCACTCTTTTTACCATTCCTTTTTTAATTTCAGACTTTCTAGATCATTTCCCTTCTATTAAAAAAGAGGTCTGCTAGAGAACTTTCAGGTTTTATTTCTTTGAGCATGTGTTTATTTAGCCCTTGTTCTTAAAATATATTTTTGCTAGCTATAGAACTCTAACTTGAATTACGAGTCATAGTTGTTAGACTTATTTTCACTGAGTATATCATTTTGTGGTCTTCTACTTCCATTATTGTTATTGAAACCTAGTAGTCCTTTGAAGGTGTTCTGTGTTTTCTCAAAAAAATTTCTCTTTTATTAACCTCTTTTTATTTTCCATTTTGTTGTCTCTTTGTGTTGCTTTCTGGACTTTTCAGATTTATCTTTCATTATATTAATTTTTATTCAATGGGATCTATTTGCTTTTATCTCTCCCTTAATTTTAATTGCTGTATATTTTCATTTCTAGAACTTCTGATTTTTTTTACAAAGTGTCTGCTCTTTTCCTCACTTTTAAGTTTTCATTGAATATATTAAAAATACTTATTTTATATTTTACAACTGATAATTCCAAGATGAACTATTTGCAGGTCTGATTTTTCTAATTCTCTTATATTATGCCCTGTTTTCCCTAAATGATTTATACATTTTTATTATAAGATAATCAGTTTCATTAGAACTTCACCAATGGGAATTATTTGATGATGATGATTCATGTTGCTTATGTCAGGCTCCTGAAAGTAACAATCCAGGATCCTTTTACATTCTTAGCTTGAGGTTTAGTGTGAATTCAGGCTGCAAACCAGTGTGAGGGCTGGTTTGCGATAATACATTTTCAGCAGAAATATTATTTTTCCCATTAGCAGAAATAATCTAGAAAGATCATTTTGTTATCCTTGGTGACACTAAGGGAAAGAACTTCTAGATCACTCTTACACCTAGAATGTATAGACCTATGGAAGTCCAAATTAATGGGGAAGACTATTTCCTGCTTGATGTTCTACCTCGGCTGGGTCTGGGTTTTGCTTCCTAATCCCTGAGCCCCACAAAGCCAGAAAATAGAAGTTCACCTAATTTGGTAATTACCTTCAAGGCAATAGCCAGCTTCAGCACTCAGCTTACCTCTCACTAGGTTTCTAATTAGTGTTCGGTCTAAATATTCTTTATTCTGTGCCAGAACATTGACACATGTTAGGTTATTTTCAGCAGAAAGGCTGGTCCAGATATTTAGTTCACCATTTTGCGGAAAACAGATTATTTACATTAGTGTCCAATGGCAATATCTCTAATATGCATTAGCCTGTATGTTAGAGCATTGGTTCTTAAATTTCTTCTGCCTCTGCATACTGGAGGAATTTGATTTACTGCTATCAGTAAGAATTGCTCATTATGACAGTGATTCCCAACTGGAATTAGGTACAGAACATTTCCCTGGAGGCTGAAGTTGATTATCAAAAATTCGGTGCAGATTTTTAAAAAGAGGATGCTTTCATCACTTTTAAAAACCATACTCTTTAAATACAGTAAAGCTATTTCAACCCCTTAACTATGATTCAGTCCATAATTATAAACAAGTATTACTCTCTTGATAAAAATAATACTTATAGGGGATGCTAAAGTATATAGGACTATTTGCCAGTTTATCAGTGTTTCTCAAATCAGAATGTCCCAAGGATTTTCCTGGGGGCCACAAGCTTTGTAAATTTTCATTTTTTTGCTTTCATTTCAATAACAGTATAAAAATGTATTTTTACTATTTTCAAAGAGAAAAATAAAGACTTAAAACTACTCGAGGAACTAAAGTCAGTGATTCCTCAAAATGGGATCTATAATTTTTTTTCTAAAGAAGGATCCATATATTATTTAAGTTAAGAAATATTGCTCCACACTAAAGGCCTCATATTGCTAAGTTTGAGTTACTGGATTAATCTTAGTTCAATATCCTCATTTGTACTGTAGTCACTGTACCTGATTATACAGGTGTATGACCACTTAGCAAAAACCTTTAAGGACAGATACATTTCAGAATTCAGAGTATTCTGGAATTTAGAAAGGGACTACAATGCAAATATATGTTACGTGATGTGTCAGTGAAGTCTGAGGCAGCACCCCATAACAAACATGTTAATATTTCTGTAGCAAAATGTATATTCACACTAAAAGGGGGTTAAATAAAGATCACCAATAGTCTTATATCAATTCATATCATGTTTTGGCAATATGAGAAAACTTTAGGTTTTCAGAGCATTTTGGATTTCTAAATCATGAGGATGGAATTATACAACCATTATTTACTAGAAAGCCTGATAAATTTCATTAGAATTTCATATAAGATCATACTTAAGAAAGATCAAATAAGGGTAAAGGGCTCACCTTAAGGTTTATAAATCTAATGCATAAACTTGGTAATTTTTTTCTCCCAACTACTTTGTAGTCTCTTTTTGTCTATTTGTGGCTTAATAGTGGAAGATACAGAATAAGTAAGCTCCTGATAAGCAGAAAATATTATATTATTAGTTCTAAAATGTCAGAAGTACCTAAATGTAATAGGAATTTAAAACTCATTCCAAAGCCAACATATTAGCCAAACTGGATTATGATTACAATGTCTCTTCAGCTAGCAATGTGGATAAAAGGTAGAGAGAGAAGTGTAGTAAATTTATATTATTCACAATAACCTTTCCTGATCCTTTTCTAAGAAGCTTCAAGATGAAATCTCTTACTCCTACTAATAAACTCATGGCTCTGTTGTCATAGTTGTTAGATTCTATGGTGAAATAGTGTACAACTGTAAAATGAAAGGCTTCTTCCTTAAGAAAGAACTTTATATGTTTAACACTAAGAGAAATTAAACAGAAACTTGAGGGGGCAGTATATTTGAAGTTATAAAGAATAAGCAATTTCATATTATAAAAAACCATAAAAGAGAAATTTAAATCATTATTCTTGATATTATAATCACATCTGGAAGCAGTGAAGCAGAGTGTTAAGAGCCTGACCTGTGAAGATATATGCGTAGGTTCAAATCCCAGCTCTACCAAACAATAGGTTATAAGATCTATCAATTTAGAATTTTAATAGTACCTACTTTCATAAGATTGTTAGTACAAATTAAATGAGAATATAAAACACTTAGAACAGAGGTAGTACAATAAATACTAGCAATAGAGATGGTAATTATTATTGTTGTCATTATTAATTTTTTAAAATTACTATTACATTTTTTCCTAAAGTACTAGATTTGCAAATGTTACATTTTTCAAATAAAAAATTATGGCACAGAAAAAAAAATTATGGCACAAAATTTAAAAAATCTTCTGGTATTAAGGATGGGTCTCCCTCATGACCAATGATACCCATTGGCAAAACAGCCAACTGAAATTAGGCCTTTCTCAGAAGGGTGCTGCAATAAGTATCATCATTTTCTTTGACGCAACTTTCACTTCCTTACTCTATTTGATGCACTTTTTAGGTTATGTCAATATTTTGCCCAATCATGCAACATGACAGAACCCTTCGAATCTTTCTAGTTAAAATAATATAAAAGAATTTGCCCTGGCCAGCATGGCTCAATTGGTTGGAGCATCATCCTGTAGTCCTTTACACCAAAACGTCGCAGACTCAATTCCTCAGGGCACATACTTAGGTTGCGGGTTTGATCCCCGGTCGGGGATGGGAGGCAACTGATTGCTGTTTCTCTCTCAGATCAATGTTTCTTTCTCTCTCTCTCTCTCTCTCTCTCTCTCTCTCTCTTTCCTCTCTCTAAAATAAATAAAAACATGTCCTTGGGTGAGGAATGATAATAATAATAATAATAATAATGTAAACTTAAATCACATAAACTTTAAGAACTTTTTTTTAGTATTTTATTATCTAGTGTCTCCCTCTGGCAAAGTCTAAATTCCTTTATTTACAGCTTTGGCTGATAACATTCTTACACACACACACACACACACAAATCATAAAAAATAAAGAAAATAACTACACTATCTCTGAAATAAAAATGTTGAGTTTTCACTAGTAACAACATTCTCAATAACAAAAAGAAAAGATATATGGCAAATATAATGCTATAATCAAAACAGGACAAAAATATAAATACCTACATATATTGTTATATTCATTTGTATCCAACTAATTCAGAATCTACTATCCGGTTACAAAATTCTTATCATGTTAAAATAGTCAAAATAATAATTTTTCTCTACTCTCAAGATATTACTTATATTGTGAATTTCAAAATTAATCTAAAATACTTTCAAAATATGAGCTCATGAATATAAAATTTAGTGACAAGAAATCAGGCTCTCAGTCCCGCAATTCTCATGAATATAAAGTTAATGTATACTTTAATAAATAATATAGTGCCATAGCAAATCCTATATAATAAAGATGTAATATGCAAATGGTTGTTATGTGGTGAGGTGTAATGACCGACCA